TGGGGATTTAGCTCAGTGGCACCGCGCCCACCTTGCAAGCGCACGGTCCTGAGTTTGATCCCCAGTACCGCAAAAAAAAAAAAAAGAAAAAGAAATAAGGTTAGTGCCATGAGTTCGAGGCCAGCCTGAGCTACATAGTGAGACCCTGTCTCAAAACACCAAATAAATAAATAAATAAATAAATAAATAAAAATTTTTAAAAAAAGGTTGGTAGTTGCTTGGGGTGAGAAGGGATTGACTTGAAAGGGCCATGAAAGGAGCTTCTCAGCTGACGGACATGTTCAAACCTTCACAGAAGTGTGGGGTATGTTAGGATATTCAGTTTTTACAACTGGTCAAACTGTACGCCGAAGATCTATGAATTTCATCATATATAAATTATACATATGGCAGGCAGCATTCAAAATAGCCCCAAGGATCCCTACCATGCCTCCTGTGATCCTCACCCATGTTGTATTAGGCTGGTCTGCGTGGTCCACAGAATATGGTAGTGATGGGGTGTCACTTTGAGATTAAGCTAAAAAAGACATTTCAGTTGTGTCTTGTCCCCTCCACCCCGGTATTCTGGAGGAGGTCATATATTGAGCATCCCTATGAAAAAGTCCACATGGCAAGAATGGAGCCTCTTGCCAACAGTCATGAAAGTGAGCTACATGTACAGCCTTCAGCCCCAGACAAGGCTTTCAGATGTCTGCAGTCTTAGCTGACCGCCTGATGACAAACTCATGAGATTTCTGACTCTCAGAAACTGTGTGAAACAACCAAAGTTTATTGTTTTAAGCTACTACATTTGGGATTATTTGTTACGAAGCAATAAATGATTATATAAAATTTCAATAGACTGAATGTCCCTAGTACCAAATAAATAAATAAGGGCTGAGATGCAGCTCAGTGGTGCCGTGCCTGCCTGACAAGTGCAAGGTCCTGAGTTCAATCCCTGGTACCACACACACACAAAAAGAAAACCAAATAAATAAATAAATAAATAAATAGACTAAATGTGTGGGGGAAAATATTCAAAGTTCTCTTAGCCAAATGGTTTTCCCAGGAACTCTTTCTTTTTTAATAGCAAAACATTTACTGGTACATTATAGGCACACATAATAACATTCATTGCAGGGTGATAAAGTTTTGTTGGATCTCACATTGACTCTTCTCAATACACAGACCTTTCTTAGCCCAGTTCAGCTCTGAGAATGCTCCTTGTCCTTCTTTAATAGTCCAACCTACTTTCTGTTCCTGAGCCTATCTCTTGGAAATTCTCTCTCCAAAACCAAAATTTTTTTTTGGTACGGGCGACTGAACTCAGGGCTTTGTGGTTGCCAGGCAGATGCTGTGCCACTGAGCTATATTCCCAGCCCTTCAAAACCAAATTTCAGAGTAAGTCACAAGCTCTTCTACCAATTTCTTGCTCCTTTGGATTGCATTATATTGCAAAAATTATTGCATAATTTTTTTTTGGTACCAGGGATTGAATTCAGGGCCTTGCGAGGCAGGCAGTGGCACCACTGAGCTAAATCCCTAGCCCAATTATTGCATAGTTTTAATGCATAATAATTACTTAAGCGCCTACCACGAAAGTTAAAAATTGCCAGCATTGTGGCACATGCCTACAATTCCAGCTACTTGGGAAGTTGAGGCAGGAAGATTTCAAGTTTGAGGCCAGCCTGGGGATCTTGGTGAAGTCCTATCTCCAATATACAAAGGTCTGGGGATGTAGCTCAGTGGCAGAATGCTTGCCCAGCATGTACCACAGGGCCCTGGGTTCAATCCCCAGTATCGAAAGTGAACAATGAAAAATTTAAAAACTTGTTATCTCACATAGTTTTGTGTCAAGAAGTTGGGAGTGGCTTGGTTGGTGGTTCTGGCTCAAAGTCCTTTATAAGCTTTCAGTCAACCATCAGTAGGGGCTTAACCAGGGTGGATGACCCTCCAAGACAACTGACTTATATGGTTTGCTGATACAGGTTGTCCTCAGGTCTTGGTTTCTAGTCATGTGGACTTCTCCTCAGGGCTATTTAAGTATCCTCACAACATGGCAGCTGCATTCCTCAAGAGCAATGATTCAAGAGAGGGAAGATGGAAACCATAGTATTTTATGGCCTAGCCTGAGAATTCCATGCATAATTCCTCAAGATGCTTTTGGCTGCACAGCTCAGCCCTATCTAATATGGGCTGGGACTACTTGAGGGTTTGAATAGCAGGAGGAAAGATCACTAGAGACCATCTTGGAGGCTACCATATCCTCTTTGAAAACTCGAATACAGGTAGTCAAGTGATGAGTTAATGGATATGGGGAGGAAATGAGAAAACATTCATTGAGCACTCATTATATGCTAGACACTTTTATCTAAGTTATTTGAATTTTAAAATAAAAGGATTTCACTGTGTACATGTACATGTTCCAACTTCCCAAGATGATTGTAAAATGCATGTACTGCAAATGTTTGTTTTTTTTTTTGGTACTGGGGATCGAACTTGGGTCCTTGCGCTTGCGCAGCAGGCAGCGAAACCACTGAGCTAAGTCCTTGGCCCTCAAACGTGGTTTTTGAGACAGGGTCTATGTATTTCAAACTGGCCTTGAACTCATGGTGATCTTCATGCCTTAGCCTCCCCAGTGCTGGAATTACAGGCATGTACCACACCCAGCTTGTACTGCAAACATGTACTAATAAAATATAATTTTTTAAAAAAGGACATCACGGGGGCCGGGGATTTAGCTCAGTGGTTCCGGTGCCTACCTTGCAAGTGCAAGGTCCAGAGTTCAATCCCCGTTACCAAAATAAATAAATAAATAAATAAATAATAAAAATAAAAAAGGATATCACTGTTAGCTTCAAAAGTAGAAACTGATTAGTTCAGTGGCACAGTGCCTGCCTGGCAAGTGCAAGGTCCTGAGTTCAATCCCTAGTACCAAAAAAAAAAAGGAGAAATTGAATCCATGTTTATAGGGCCCAAAAGCCCATTCTTACAATTTTTATTTTTTATTTTGGTACCGGGGATTGAACTCGGGTCCTTGCTCTTGTGCAGCAGGCGGTGAAACCACTGAGCTAAATTCCTGGCCCTATACTTACAATTTTTAAACTTTTCAAATTATGGATATTACATACTTCTAGAAAATATGAATATATAAACTAAAAGATTACTATAAAGTGAACTTCCATATAGTCACCATCTTGTCCTGTTTTTTTTTTTTTTTTTTTAAGAGTAGGAAAATTTCTTGGGGAATAGGAATAGCTCTTGAGAGACAGAAGGGGGTCCCAAATGGATTACCCTGGTCCTTTTTCCAGTATCAGGGATCGAACTCAGGACCTTACAGGTCATTTCCAAGATTTAGCTCTTGAGTTGCTGTTGGTATAAATATGGATATGCACATATCACTGTAATATGGTATTTTTTACTCTTTCAGGAAGATATCTAGGTGAATTTAAAAAAAATTTTAGTACATGTTTGCAGTACATAATGATTACATTCATCGTAGGGAACTAGTACATGTCTAAATGATAAATTTTTTGTTTTTATTTTTTAGACAGGGTCTCACTATGTAGTTCAGGCCTGCTTTGACCTCACTATGTAGTCCAGGCTGGCCTCAAACTTGCAGCGATCCTCCTGTCTCAGCCTCCCAAGTGCTGGAATTACAGGCATGTGCCATCACATCTGGCCTAAATGATAAATTTTTATAGAAGCAAAAGGACAGTTGTGAAATTCCAATAAAAGGGAAGAGAGAGGCTTTTGATCAGTCATTTTTCTCCTACATACAACTGGAGATGTCTGATTGTTTCCTCTTGGTTGAATTCAGGTTCAACACTCTTGGGATTTTGGGTTGTGATATTATATCCTCAATTGCATTGGCTCAGAAGGCACCTATGTCCATTTCAAGATAACTCCATTATTAGATTTTAATTGTATTTATTTATTTATTTTGAGACAGGGTCTCACTTTGTAGTTCAGACTGGCCCTGAACTCACTATGTAGCACAGGTTGGCCTCGAACTTGTGGTGATCCTCCTGTCTATCCTCCCAAGTACTGGGATTACAGGTGTGCACCACCATGCCCCACTTAATTTTTATTTTAAAAAAACAAATTAAAATTCATTCCCTTTAAGTAAACTATTAGTTTGCAGTTAGTAGAACTCCTCTTTAAAAGTGTCCACAAAGCCAGGCCTGATAGCACATGCCTGGAATCCCAGAACTACTGAGACTGAGGCAGGAGGATAGCTTCAAGTAAAAAAATAAACAAAAGTGCCCACAGAATGCTCAGAGCTAGGTAAATTCCTGTAATCCCAGGACTGAGGAAGTTGGCAAGTTCTAGGCCAGCCTGGGCTACTTAGGGAGGCTCTGTCTAAACAAACGAACATCCACAGAAGGTGTAAGAAATGGGAAAAGATATTAGAATAAAACCTGAAATTAGTGCAAATGTAGCTGATAGTTAGCTACTGCCCCCTCAGTAAATTTCTTAAAAATTTTCATTTATTGGGGGTGGGGTAGGCAGAAGGTTACTAAAGAGCCTTTAAATTCTAAAATTCTGTGACTGAAAACAACGGGGTAGAGGTAGAGCTGGATTTGGAATCAGTAGGCTGGGATTTGAGCACAGTTCTGCCACACAGCAGCTGTGCAAATATGAATAAGTCATTTAATCTCTCTAAACCTTAGAGTTTACCTCACAAAATTGAGAAGGATTAAGGAGATTACTGCGTGTCAAAGTGCCTTATAAACCTAATGAACTAACCGAATGGCAGGTCTATTTTTTTTGTTTTTCTTTCTTTTTTTAAGGACTATTTTTATAGTGTCCAGTTTTTCTCCTTATGACCTAATTAGTCGATCAAAAGACACAAAGTTAGTCAAACCTCATCAATTTCAGTTTTAAAACCAGGAAACGAGGGAGAACCCATGGCAGAATAGTTAACTGCATCACAATTTATCAAATTTAAGGTTTTATTCCATAAATGCTTGTGCTTTGGTGATTTATAAAACTGGCTAAAATTACCAGTAGGTACTCACTTGCGCAGGCGGGTCCTCCATAAGACGGTTGTTGGAATCCCAAATTCTGGGGCGAAAACAGTGAACATAGTATACACAATGGCGACAAGGGTTTATAAAAGTCCTCATTCAGTGAACATTTTCGTGAGGTGATGTCTGGTGTGTGGGGGCAAAGCGAAGCAGACAGGTAAAGTTCTGCTTTTCAAGAAGCGGAGGCTGCCCTGGCATCTACGGAGCCTGGAGGGTGGGAGATGTGAGCTGTCTCCCGGAAGACAGCCGGACAAGTGACAAAGGACACCTGAGTTTCTTTAGGTCCTTTGGCTAGCGCTCGGGACCTTGGCTCACGCGCGCTCGGGCCGCAGTTTCTATGTTACAACTGTCAGCAGAGCTCAGACTCTTACGCGCGGAAGCCAACTGACGCGCGGCCTCCACCGCCGCTCAAGACGCGAGCGCGACAGGACGACAGCTAACGAGGCGGTGAGCCGACGTCGGCGCACGGCACGCGCGTGACCCCGCCCACGCACGGAGGGGGGGGACACGCCGCCGCCGTTCCGAAGTGCGCACGCGCGCCCTCATCCGGGTGCCCTGGCGAAGGCTGCGCCGGGCGAGTGGGCGTAGGCGAGTGGTTGTGGGCGGGCGCAGCTCATTGTGCGCAGCGCTGTGCGGCGCCGCGGCCGCCTAGGCCTGGGAGGAAGTTGGCGCCGCCGCCGCCGCCGCCGCCCTCAGCCTGCTTGCTGCCTCGGCGGCGCGCCGCTCTCCCAAGATGGCCGCTGCTGCCGGTACCGTGGGGTCGGCTGAAGGCAAGAAGATCGCCGACCTGCGGGTCATCGACCTCAAGTCCGAGCTGAAGCGGCGGAACTTGGACATCAACGGAGTCAAGACTGTGCTGGTCTCCCGACTGAAGCAGGTGAGGCCTGTTGAGGTCCGCCGGGGAGCTTAGGCCGCGCCTTGCCGCCCCTGCCTCGCGGCCGCGGGATCCACAAGCGGCACGGCGGGAGACCCCGCATCCGTCCGGCCTATGGGCCGCGAGCTGCCCCGCGCGTGCGCCCCGGACGTCCCCGCCGGCGACCACCCTGTGGACGGCGGTGCGGCCTCGCCAGGGCGGCGGGAGCGGGCTGCGCTGCCTCCGCCTCCGGCCATGGTGAGCGCGTGCGTCTCCGGGCGCGGAGGGAATGGTTACTGGGGTGACTCCTGCGAAGTAACCGTTTAATGATGCCCGACCGTTTCCTCCGCATCTGGGGGCTGCTGGTAATGGGAGTTGATGGGTGGGCGAGAGAGGTTTTGTTTTCCTCTGGGCTTTTAGTTTTTGCATAAGCGAAATAATTTGCTTTTTCATCCCTGATTAGTTTTCTGGTTTGAGTGAGCGTTGGAATTTTAGTAGAGGGCTAGTAAGTTTGCGCTGTAGAAATTAGGAAAAAACTATTTCCTTTAGTAGCTAGAAACTTTTTCTGCAATAGAGTGTATTTAGATTTCTCTTCAGTGTGCTGAAGTGTGATATTTAATTATCGACTCGGTAGAATTTAAAGTTCTGTGTGATTTTGATATCTACTGACTTCCCCCGAAAGTTTCTTTTCACTCTTTCCCATAGTTTATTCTTTTTCGCAGTCGGTTTATGAAATAACAGGCAATTCTAATGTCTCGAGGCTTGAGGTTTGCTAATTTTTTTTTCATTTCATTTTTATAAAATAAGTTTAGACAGATTGTGTAGCATATTAACTTCTCTTTCTAATGTAGGCTATTGAAGAGGAAGGAGGCGATCCAGATAATATTGAATTAACTGTTTCAACTGATACTCCAAACAAGAAACCAACCAAAGGCAAAGGTTGTTACGAGTTATGAACATATTTTAAAATATATCTTGGTTATGTAACTTGCCTCTGCTCTTGTGCCACTTGTCCTGTTTAGTGCTACTCTTTGCTCTTCCCCTCTGGCGCTCTGCCTTCTTGGGCCAAGGAAGAAAAGTTACTGTTGCCAGGCTCTGGGTAACTTCTAGCCCTTAAGATTGGGATGAAGCTGACCAGAAAGCTACAACGGTTCTTTATTGTTTCCAAAAATAGTACAAATCAAGTTGTGTACTCTTTCGTGGCTTGAAGCCTTGAAGAATAAAACAGTTTAATACATGTCTACCTTGCCCCACAATTGGCAGAGTATTGATGGAATTCCTACTGGATCTTTCCCTTGGCTCCTTGCTGTTCTATATAGTTTTTTGAGATTCTGTAACCTTTATGTTTAGTATTTCATTTGATTTGGTGAACTTAATTTACATTTATGCCACAATACATTCTTAGAATTTTCAGTGAAAATTAAAAGGACCTCATCGGTTACATTAAGAAGGTAGGGAAAATCCATGATTAGTTTTAAGTATTCAGCTGTAGGGATGTTTAATAACTTTAAATTAGACTAGATGTGTTTCTGGGATGTAGAAATAGCTGAATGATTTTAAATGAACATGGAATTTAGGTGTTTTGCAAAGCATCTGCTGAGTGAAGTTTGTTTTTGAATACTTGCAAATTCCTCCCTTCCACCTGTAAAGGACAGTGGCAGAGGGTGGGCGTGATGTATGTGGATCCTGGTAGTTTTCTACAGTTGCCGTGTGTAGCGTGAACATCTGCAGCATTTTGTTGTTAAAATCTTTACTGCTTCAAGGGATCCACGTGATATTACAGCTACCTAGGGTTTGGGGTGAGAACAGAATGGTTGATCTTGAAAAGAAGGGGATCGATCTTGACCCTAGCGCCATGGCTCTCAGAAACAGGGTGCTTCACTATTTTGAGTCTTCATAGGTTCTAGAGTCCGGTTTGTGCCAGAGGAAATTGAGAAAAGGGCTAAGGAGCATTTCTTGGATGAGAAGGGATTGGCAGAGATGGGAGATGGAGTTTAGAGGAGTAAGGAAATGATTTTGAAAGTTTATGGTAAAACAATGTAACTTTGACTGTATTTATCACTTTGAGATACATTCATACAGCCTTGAGAGACACATTTCCCTGTGTTTAGAGAACCTTGTGCCAGAAATTCCTCTGCTGACAAATCAGAAGTATTTCAAAATGGGGAAGCATAAAAAATTTGAAAATAAGTGTATCAGGAATAAACCGTGTTTCTTTTTTTTTTTCTTGGTACTGGGAGTCAAACTCAGGGCCTCGACTTGCCTGGCAGGCACTGTGCTAAACTGTTTCTTGTGGTGTTTTTGATTCATAGCTTTAGTTTTATACCTTGTGATACTTTGACAGATGTCATGTATTAATCATAGTTCCAAGTTACTGGAGTTGATGTTAATGATGGTAGCATTTAAAGTAAGATTCATTTACTTTATTCAGTTCTCACTTCATTTTAATTTCTTTTTACATCCCTTTTTCAATTTTGACTAGAAACTTCATTTATTTAACCCTTAGAAATAATTTTAGAGCTGAACATGGTGGCACAGGCCTGTAATCCCTGCACTGGCGAGGTTGAGGCAGGAAGATCAAGAGTTCAAGGCCAGCCTGGGTTATATGGTGAGGCCCTGTCTCAAAAAATTCTACAAGGACTTTAAAGAAAATAAAAAATAATTTCAGCAATATAAAAATTAAGGAATTTTTTGATATAGTGTGATAATTTTTGAATAACATTTTATCAGTGTAATTTTTTCCTTTATATGGATTATAAAGATACTTGAGTTTTATTTCATAACTTTGATGTTACAGTGACTTAAAGTCTTTAGCTCGAAGTTGTAGCATTCATTTATTTGTCTGTAGCAGGCTATTGAGTACTCCACATCTTCATTGTAGGATATGCATGACAATTACAAAGAATTTAATGCACATCCGCAGCTCAGAACCTTGTTTGAATTAATTTACAATTGAGACCCCTATAGATAAGATTATTATTTATTTTCTTTGCAGTACAGGTGTTTAAATCCACATTGAACCCAGGCCCTTTATACATTGGAGGCAGGTGCTCTACCACAGAGCTCCTGAAGATACTTTTACCCCATCCCCCTAAGATTATTTTAAATTAAGTTTAAAGTATAATTTTCAGAACTCAAGTTTCTATGAAGAAACTTGTTAAAATATCAGTAAACACATTTCCAAAATAAAGATAAAAGAAATTAAGTAGTTTTTAAATCTTTTATTTATTTATTTATTTGTTTGTTTTTGAGACAGGGTTTTGATAATGTAGTTCAAGCTGGCCTGGAGGTGATCCTCCTGCCTCAGCCTACCCAGTGCTGGGATTACAGGTGTCCACCCCCACACCCAGCATTTTAGCCAAATCCTACTTTGTATATTTACCTTAAATAATTTCATTTTGATCAGGAAATGTTTTCTTCATTTTGCTTTTTTTTTTTTTTTTTTTTTTGTACCAGGGAAACGAACACAGGTCCTTGTGCTTGTGCAGCAGGCAGCAAACCTGCTGAGCTAAATCCCCGGCCCCTCCCTTTTTTTTTCTAATTTGAAATTTTACTATATCTGTAAGACTTTTTTAGTTCTGAAATTTAACAATATGTATAGCCAAGAGCTAGAGGAAAAATGTTTTCTAAAATATATAAGTGGCCTGGGGATTTAGCTCAGTGGTGCCGTGCCTGCCTCGAAAATCCAAGGTCCTGAGTTTGATCCTTGGTACCGAAAAAATAAAATAAAATAAATATATAAGCAAGAAGCAGGAAAGCTCCTAGGCCCTCAATCAGTGTACACATGAGTAGGGAGGAAAGGAGTAAAGAAGATGGTCTTACTTAGGGAGCAGTCCTGGACATTGGGAAGGTAGAACATTTAACAGCTTGTCGGAAATAGTAATAATTCCTATTTCTAAAGTGGCAAATAAAAGATGTAAAATAGGGCAGGGGATTTTAGCTCAGTGGTTTTGCCTCCTGCTGCGCAAGCACAAAGACCCGAGTTCACTCCCCGGTACCAAAAAAAAAAAAAAAAGATGTAAAAAAGCAAGAGAGAAACTGTATAGGTCTGGAAAATTACTTAGGTAAGACACAGCCTGTTCTCTTAGGAGATAAATATAGGGTAACTATTTCTTTTTAAAAAAATGTGTGTTAGGACTGGGAGGTTAGGTCAGTGGGCAAGGCCCTTGGTTTATCACCAGTACCTAGGAAAAGAAAAAGTAACTAATTTGGGCTAAGAAAAAACCCCCAAAAAACAAAAAAACAGTACTCTGAAGTATTTTGTAGACTATTTCAAAATGCAGTTAGAGGGGCCAGGGATTTAGCTCAGTGGTGCTGTGCCTGCCTCGAAAGCGCAAGGTCATGAGTTTGATCCCCAGTACCAAAAAAAAAAAAAAGCAATTAGAGGACAAACTTGTAATAAGTTTTTTTTGTTTTTTTTTTGTTACCAGGGATTGAACTCAGGTCCTTGCACTTGCAAACAAACATGTAATAAGTGTTGTTACGTTATAGTGTGTTCTGGCATTTATAATAACACTTACAAAATCTGTTTACAAGTAGTTAATATAAGCAAACAGTTTGTACCTTGGATTGGTTCTCCCTTCTTTCTTTCTTTTTTTTTCTTTTGGTACTGGGGATCGAACTCAGGTCCTTGCGCTTGCGAGGCAGGCAACGGAACCACTGGGCTAAATCCCTGGCCCCCTTCTGTCTTTCTATAGCCTCTTTGCTAGGAACTTTTTAATGACAGTAACCTAAATGAAAGCTTTATCCATTGAGATTTACTGTCATTATTTGGGTGTGTGTTAAAAAAAAGCAGTAAAACAGGTAGAACTCACTCATCAGCTTGTTGACGTTGTAGATTTCAAATGTATAATTGGTTTATCTAGATTTTCAATCTCTAAAGTCACCTCTAATCTTCAGTGAAAGTTATGTGGTTTATTAGTACAATGTTCAGTATTATAGTGTAGTATTCAGTGATACTGAAACTAATTTGTAATACATGCAAGTTTTAGAAAGATACAAAATGGTATTTAAAAAACACTTGGGAGGCTGAGGCAGGAGAATCACTATGAGTTCGAAGCCAGCCTAGGCTACCTTGGCTCAAAAAACAAGCAAACAAGGGCCAGGGATTTAGTTCAGTGGCACTGCACCTGTCTAGCCAAGCGCCAAGTCCTGAGTTCGATCCCTGGTACCCAAGAAAAACAAAAAAACCCCAAGCAAACAAAAAGTCTAGTTTTTCTCTATAGAAACAAGTACAATTTGGGGTTGATGTTGTGAACAAACATCTGATGTATAATTTTTTCATGGAAAACACCACAGACAGTATACGTGTAATTATTTGTTTACTCCATAAATCTTTTCAAGTTATATACCAGTCAAATAGGGTGGTGTACCAAGCAGCTCCATAATGGACATTTCATGTAGTACAGTTTCAAAGTGCCCCTCATTCCACCTTTTTTGTTGTTATTGATTTTTGGGGGTTTTTTTTGTTTTTTGGTACTGAGGATTGAACTCCGGACCTTGCACTTTTCAGGCAGGCACGGCACCACTGAGCTACATCCCCAGCCCCTGTTACTGATTTTTTGAGACAGGTTCTTGCTATGTAGCCCAGATTGACCTTGAACACTTAGCAATCCTCCCACTTCAGCCTCCCAAGTTCTAGGATTACAGGCGTGTGCCATTACTTCTGGCTTCATTCCTCATTTTTAAAAACTAGTATGTTCAACCAGATGTGGTGGCAAACACCCCAGAAAACAACTGTTGTATGCTTAGCTGTTGAGGAACACCACTCAAAAATGTAGCATTGAGGAACACTTTTGTTTGGGCTTAGAATTGTCATGGATATTTCTTGGGTACCTGGGAGCTGAAAACTTTATGAAGGCCAGGTCATAATTTTTTGCTGGCCTCCGCCATTGTAATGGCACATAATAGGTGCTCAGAAAATGTTTGTTGAATGAATA